GTTCCACGCTTTGCGATCTGCCACTGTGCCTTTTGAAAAGTAGAACGCTTTCCTGACCTTTGTCTTCCGTGTCTTGCTGGATGGCCCACTAATTCTGAACAAGGGCTTGCCACTAGGGTTTGGGATTCGAATTTGACTTTGAGATGGACGCTGTCCATCGGCCAGAATCTGTGGAACAGAATCAACCATTTGTTCACAAACTTGAAGATTCTGCTGGCCAGGGTCTTCACCAACCGGCTCATCCTCATCAAAAAATGACAAGTACTCAACTGGAGCTTCTCTAGTAGGCTCTTCAGACGTCAAATGATCAGTTTGCGTCCCAGATTGTACCGGCTCATCATCGAAAAATTCCAAGAAATCCATTGCGGCAATGACATGAAAGCGGCCATTGACCCAGCCGTTGGTGCTACGTAGACATAAACTCAGACCAAACTGAAAATAACAGGGACTGCTACTGCTTAGTAATATTCAAGGCAAACCATTTACTATTAAACTATAACCTGGGCCCTTGTGCTTGATTCTTGTACATTTTCTTGTGCTGCCACTGCACTAAGTAACTACAGATTGAATGGTTTCTTTGAATTCCTAAAATTGTTGAATAAATATAAGTTAGCAGAAGTAAACTGGAAATTGTAAATACAATGTGTTCGGTTCCCCGATATCACAAACCATGTGGCTACCTACTTAATCATTAGGCCATTACGTCATTAGATCGATTGTCAGCCCATAAGTGGCTTCTTGATACCTGTCAGCTTTATAAAAGTCGGCAGGGAGCCAAACATGGACATAGCGGAAACTGCCATTCTCGCACAGTCAGACCAGTCACCCTTCAGGTCTCTTGCAAGATCTGCAAGAAAATGAAACCCAAAAACACACTAAAACCTAGATGTGTTTGTCATCCCACCAGTGATTTTGTGTTGCATTTTGAGTTGTTGTCTTGTCCTGATATTTTGGCATATCACAACAGCAATAACATTCCATGCAAACCATCACCAAGATCACAGTGTTGATTCCTGGCCAAAAGAAAGGAATCAAATGTTCTCCATTCCCTGAACATGCAAATCCCCAGGGTATAGTTTGTCATCCCATCAATGCTATTTCAGCAAACCCTTCTGGCAACCATGGTTGATTTTTGGGGTCGACCTGCCCCCCCTTCCCAAAAAAAATAGAGTGCATATATATTATATATATATATTTATTTATTTCTTTGTTTGTTTATTTATTTACTCATAAAAATATATACATGATATGTCTTATATACGTACATATCTGCGTGTGGGGTTCTCTATCCATCCACCTACCTTACTTAATCATAAATATAAAATACATAGAAGGTGCAGTGAAATTTCCACACGTCTCCAGCATGGTCTTTGGAAGGTATCGTGGGGCAGCGGTTAAGGTTTCAGCCTGGCAGTAGTCAAGCTTTCAGCGTGGCAGTAGTAAAGGTTTCAGCGTGGCAGTACCAAAGGTTTAGCGTGGCAGTAGTGAAGGTTTAGCGTGGCAGTAGGAAAGGTTTAGCGTGGCAGTAGTGAAGGTTTAGCGTGGCAGTAGTGAAGGTTTAGCGTGGCAGTAGGAAAGGTTTAGCGTGGCAGTAGTGAAGGTTTAGCGTGGCAGTAGTGAAGGTTTAGCGTGGCAGTAGGAAAGGTTTAGCGTGGCAGTAGTGAAGGTTTAGCGTGGCAGTAGTAGCAAAGGTTTCAGTGTGGCAGTAGCAAAGGTTTAGCGTGGCAGTATGGCAGTTTTAGTGTGGCAGCAGCATGTCTTCAGGAAGCAATTCCTGACATTTTTTGGCCCAGACAGGGGGTCAATAACCTGATAGAAAAACCACCTAATTTATACCCATAAAAAATTGTCAATTTTTGGGGATGGTGGATCCGCTTTACCCTCTGGGCTTCCCCGGCAAGGAGGGGGTTGGCCATGCCATCGTTACCGGCGACGCATCGTTTGAGCCCATTCTTTTCGACGGACGGCCGTGGCGAGCGACATGTCACGTGCGAGAGAATCATCCGGAAGAACCAAGGAGACCAGTTTTCAGCAACGAAACCATGGGGATGTGGTTCCTTCACCAGCCAAGTGTGAATCTGCCAGCCATTTGAATCAGCAAGGAGGGGAAGTACCCAAGAAAAACGGAATTGCGATGGCCGCAGGTCAGATTATCGTCGAACGGGATGATCAGAAAGGGAAACATCTCTCCGTCGAAATGGTAAAGAAAAGGGGCCCCTTTCATCAACCAACAAGTGGGAAAAGGACATCTATGATACCCTCTGGTAATTTAACATAGCTATTGAAAAGTGGATTTACCAATTAAAAATTGTAATTTTCCATAGTTACGTTCGTTTACCAGAGGGTACTTCCAATGTCTTCCAATCATAGACCTGGTACGAACAATTCCAAGCATGAATCATACCCTTGTATTCTTAGTCAAGTGTCTATGATGTGGACTACTGGACACAAATATGGTGCAATGATAAACTGGCTGGCTATTCAATGACGAACCAACCAACTATTATGGATTATGATGTAATATCCCAATATTAATCTACTATTACCAACTAGCATTGATTATGATTATGATATGTATAATATCCCAATATTAATCTACTATTAACTATTCTTATCCCAACCAACCAATAAATGGTACCGCTAGACATCTCCTAGCTTTACGGTACCGATGTTTGGGATCCAGAATGATATGTTTGCTTGGTCGAATTCTATAGATATACTCTGGAATAGATACTATGGGATATTTTTTTGTGGAAATCTATAGATACTATGGAAATCTATAGATACCCTAGGGAATTCTATAGATACTATGGAAATCTATGGAATATGTGTTGTGATTCTGGTAACATATCCACATCTGACGGGTTTACATCACTGTTTGTTGCATATCCAGCTCGTTCCCCTTCACCATCCCATCCTCTGGAGGACGAGCTGACCTGAAACACACGAAAAAAAAACAAAATGGGACGGAACCTGGCAGGACTTTGGTGTTGGTTTTTTCTTTTCACAAGTTTAGATGAAAATTGAGGAGGTCGACCTGTGAAAAGTAGGAGATTCACCTAAATGGTTCAATCAGGAGATTCAAGAAGCAAGGATTAGGAGAACCGATAGAAAGGCCAATGGTAAGGCGGACGGGATGCAACTGCAAATATAATCCTACATTGTTTGTCTCGATGTTGTGTCGACAACAAACATGTTGGCAACATACTCTGTAGACAATGCGAATACAACCGAAATGTCCAACATCTGTCGAGTTATCGAGAGAAACACCCAGATGACAGGCTCCTGAATCCCAAAATGCTACTGATATCAGCTACATCTGCCAGAGATCGAAAGAGATCGAAAGTGAAAGCCATCACCATTGCTTGGATGTAGAAAAAAAATGTATATATATATATATATATCCACCTCTGGATTTGCCGTGATGTCAAAAAAACATGGCATGGACTTTCTGCATTAGTTGTGAAGTCATGTACAGATAGATATCAACACTAACCATCGCACTAGCATACACGCCGAAATCTCAAATTTTGCATGTCGCAGGTAGTCAAATTTTGACTGTAGATTGGTTACATACCCCAGAGTAACGTTGCCATAGATGTGGAAAACCAATGGTTTTTAGGAAAATGATCTACAAACGGTGGGTTATATAGTTTGCTGGAGGGTGGTTGAAAGGTGGTGGAATCCCCATTTTTGGCAGCTACATCTGAGTACTCAACGTTCACGAAGATTCAAAGCTTCAAGTTCACGTCATTTCAGGCGTAGTTCAATACAAAGATATGTGTAAGATATGTCATGTCCCAATTTTTATGTGAGGAAAACTATTTACAGTATGTACATATCTATTTATATATATATACGTATATACATAATTAATCATAATTCCACATCTACAGATTATGCATATATAGTCTTTTATAATATTATATAATATTATCATATACTGTCATATGATATCAGGTTCCAAACATTCCTGGAAACGAATCAACAAAAGGCTCCGAGCACCCGGCCTCCGCCCCAAGAGCAACGGCGCCATGCGACATTGTCACCAGAGCGGTGGGGTGGAACCAGATTTGCTACGGAAAATGGGGTTACCCCAATGGCTGGATGGTTTATTTCATGGGAAATTCCATCAATGGATGTGGAAAATGGTGGTACCCCCATGACTTTGGAAACCTCCATTGAGTTCCATTTAGTTCGATGATTTCCCTATCATAAATGGTGATGTTCCACAGCTCTAGCAGCTATGTGACCAGAGGGAAGCTGCTTCATCCATGCTTTTTGGTGGTTTGGGATAAAATTTGGGATGAAATTTGGAATGACTTGTATTTTCTCGGGCTTTTGTGATGAAAGTTGTCTGAAGAAGGTGTTGCATCTTTGCATCTGGGAATATCTGGGGATGATAGATGGAGAGACGCATTCTGAGTATGTGGAGGTTCTCTCAGCTGCGGAAAGTTGCGGCGGACCAAACAACTCTCCGTTTTTTTGGTTTTGAATAAAAAAGTTTTTCACGCATGTTCACATATGCTCACACAAAAAAAGAAGGATACGGCATGTCACAAAGTGGCTCCTATTCGGCAACTTTGTGGATGTCAACGCGGTTTCATTCCTCCCTCGGACGGGGGAATAGGGAGGCGCACGGACTGAGTACCAGCTAACAGCACATCGCGCAACACCACACGTGACGAATACAACGGTGCACAGCATACGGCCTGCCACAGAAAAAAACACCCAGCAGAGATGGTAAAACCACGCACACTGGCACCAAGCACGTTTCAACAGGTTTTCGGTGGATCGTATTTTGACCTTGTGCCCCTGGGGGCATCAGATTCGAACCTCTTCTCTTTTGGCGATTTGGCACAAAAATGAACCCATATTTTCGGATCTAAAGAAGACAACGGATTTATCTTTCTAGTGATATAAGAATATATAAGATATAAGATGATAGAAGTTCTACTTCTTTGACCATGTCATACCATGAGTCTAAATCCATCTCTTACCTTTGTTGCTCAACCGTTGCTCCCACTCGGCCCTTCCCCGCTCCGTGGTGGTGCCATCCATGGATCTGCCGTTCACAAAGAGTCGATGCCTCCACCGCTACGCCGGGGATGACTGGGTGCCGGAGCTACCAACGACCGGAGTTCCATGGCTTTTTTTTCACTGGGAATCGCAGAAAAACATGGAGATCAACCCAATCAGGAATTTGAGACGTCATGGGAATATCATGGGAATATCATGGAAAAAAATCATGGAACTGTTGTGAGATACCAATTTAAACTATTTTTTGACATTTGGAGCTAGACTTCCCATCTGTCATGGCCATGGCCACAACGAGAATCCCCGAACCCCGAACTCGCGATTTTTATCTTCCAGCAAGCCATGGCCATGAGGACCACCAGGAAGGTAATAGTTGGCATGTGTTACCCCATCTAACTATAGAATTCTAAACCAAAACTAATATATATGGAATAGAATATATATGAAACTAAACTATGGGAATTTGGTAATATATGGAATATTATGAAACTAAACTATGTCTATTATAAATATATATATACACATATTATTGCATATTAATGTATGGGGGTTTCCATAAATGGGGAACCCCCCAAAATGGATGGTTTATAACGGAAAATCCTATTCAAATGGATGATGACTAGGGGTACCCCGATTTTAGGAAACCTCCATGTAGATCATATAGATATAGCAACCTCACCATATAACATGTTGGTGATACATCCTCATCTAAGACCATCGTGTCATGTTTGGGACCCACAGAATCTCTCTTTGTTAAATCCAGAAGTTTCCTAAGTCATGGGGGTACCCCTAGTTATCATCCATTTTTACAGATGGATTGTCCATGAAATAAACCATCCAGCTATGTATCCCCATGGATTGGAAAACCCCATATGTTTGAGGTGGTTGTTTCTATGACCCAAACCCAATCAAACCATATCAAACCCAAATATGATTTGGCAGGGGTTGGTAACTGTCCCATTTTGGGTATATTGGACATCACCTTATAGTAGCCATTATAGACCATATACCTAATGGTTGGGTGATGTTCAATGGGGACATTTAATGACCCATGTATTTGGGTAGGGGTCAAAATCCAAGAACCAGGGGACTGCAGATTTTGGTGCAATGTTTCAGTCTTGGCCATCCATTTTTGCGTACCCCAATTTTGACTCATACCATGAGTTGAAATAATATATATATATACCATTTGGTTATTAAACATAGCCATGGAAGATCAACATGTTTAATAGGTACACCATCTATTTCTATATGTGCCATTTTCCATGGCAAACTGTTAGTCATAACCAGAGGGTGTATATATATATAATCCCAATCTCCCATGGCTTCTCAGAAACTACAAGTCATGGAAAGTTTGCCCTTCACATGGCCATCTTATCCCAATCTCCGGACACACCCCCTATGTTCGTTACGATATCTCAAACATGGCAGTGGGAAAATCCCCAATTTCTAGATGAGTTTCCAAGCGAACTAAACCTCTGGGGCTTTCCCTAAAATGGTGATGCCATGTTAGGAAACTTCCAAATTCATCCATAGAAAATAGGAAAACCCCAAATTTTCGGAAATAATGGGTTTCATCCATAGAAAATAAACCATATTTAATATGATTTTCCATCCGTAAACCATTCATTTTGGGGTACCCCTATTTTTAGACACACCCAGCCATAGTGGGGAACCACTCTCCGGCCATGTTGACTCCCCATCGCCCAAAGGCACCTCTGTGAGCAAAGGTTAGTCAACCACAGACCGCCGCTGTGTTCCTTTCCGCTGAGGGGATGTTTGGACGCAGAAGATGGTGGAAATGGTTGGAAAATCTGGAAATGGTTGGAAAATCACTGAAAAGAAAAACACTTGGAAAAAATGGGCGGACGAAAAACTCGATGCATCTGGATTGCGATGATTTTTTGAGAGGTGGAAGGGAGGTAGAAGGTAACCAAGAGCGAAATTCACCCATGGGCGTAGAGATGATCGAAATCAAAATGTGGGAGTAGATCAACGGAGATGGGACTGGAGCCCATAGAAGGATGGTCTTAATTCTCCAAATAATCTTGGCATGCAGAACCCAACAAGCTGAACGGAAATGGCCAACTGAGTCATGGCACCATGGCATCCGGATGTTCCTCTAAAGATCCCTAAGTAGCTGGTTAATGATTTTTCCCCAGTCATATGGTAATTTCATAAGGTTTGAACCATCCCCAGTCAATCGGTTTCTGCCTTCAACCCAAAAGGAGGTGTTTTTTCTTGGCGCTGAGAAGGTGTTTCTGGTAAGTTCATCAGGGATGGTTTGTATAATTGGTCTTTACCACATGATAAACCATGGTTTCTGCTTTAATCACCATGTCAACCATGTTTCTTGGTTATGTATCCAATTTACGCCGGAACCCTGTGAAAGTTTACCATAATATTAACTATGATTAAAAAAACACTTTTGGTAATATTCATTGGACACATATGGTTGTAATTTAGCTGTAATTATGATTATCATTGGCTTTACCACATTAACATCGCCTTAATTCCCATGTTTTCATCGCGTCAAACGGCCATTTAAAATGCCATCTAGAAAAAAAAAACTTCCAAGTGGCTTTTCCCACGAATGGATTACAACATATCTGGGTCAAGTATAATATGGGGATGAGTCAAAATTAAAGCCCCAGAAGGGACCACAGATTCTAGCACTTGTTTCGTATCACCCTCTGCTAAATTAACATAGACTCTGAAAATCACCAATCTTTAGTGGAAACCAATCTCCAAGCCCGACGACTGCCAGGGTCTATGTTAATTTACCGGAGGGTAATCATCTCATTGTTAAGCTACCCAAATCTGACTTATACCCATATGTCACTGACCTGAAATAAGGCACTCTATTGGGATAATGATCCCAATGATCCCAATCCTAACCATGGTGAGGTCGAGGTCGTTATAATTTACCCAGAACTATGATGAACTATGGTTCTATGTTTGAAAAAAGTTGCTACAGTAATTCATAAAATTTATACCATAAGTTATATATTTCAGGGGGGGTTTTCATATTTTCATAGGGCTACCACCAAATCATCCTGGGTCAATTAAAATATTTCACTAACCTGAATAGTTGGGCCCATTTTGGGATGATTCCCCGCAATCTAACTATGATTTCCAGGGTTTGGTCGAACAGTGAGGTCGTGATGAAATTTACCCAGATATATCATCAGATCACCATCATATTCCCATATAGTTGTTGGTTTATAGCCTATGAAAACCACTATTAACCATCACTATTAACCACTATAAACCATCATCATTGATCAATAAACCATCCAGCGCAGCTTGGTAGCCAAGTCGCCGAGATCTGACAATGCTGCGGCCGAATACCCAGGCCCTGAGGCCACCAGGTGAGGCCAGCAGGCCAGCAGGCAAAAATCGCTGAAAGCCATGGGTTTTTATGGAAGGATTGATGGGATTTTCCAATAAATCAATGGTTCATTGATATGGTTCATATAAATCAATGGGATTTACTTGCTTAATCCCATTCCATAAAACCATTAATAATATTCACAGATAATGGGATTAAGCAACACTGAATATCATCATTATGTGAATATTATGAATGGATATTAAGGTTCATAGTTCCAGTGTTGGATTATGAACCTCACTAAAATAACCTCATTATCAATGGTTCAGTTCCACTGTTGGAATATCCACTGTTTATAATAGTGAATATTATGAAACCTCACTAAAATAAACTGCAACTGATGAGGAATTCACCAAGAATCAATGGATGCATATATGGGATTTTTTTCTGCAGGAAACCATGGTTTTTTTTTAAACCTCCAAATATAGGGGGGTTCCGGTCTCGATTTTTCCTTAAGCCCAAGGACAGAAAATTCCTGGAGAAGCATTGGGCTGGTGGAAACGTGATGAACTGGAGAAGCATGGAACTAATTTAGCAGTTTAGTAAATTGGAAAAACATCGAACTATGGCAGCAAGCCATGTTTGACTACCAGAGGCTATCTGAAGAACGAATTCCACCAACAAAGACCGTAAATTCAGCCATTTTTCGGTGGGATTTCACATGACAGCGGTACCCAGTGTTGCGAAAAACGGGGATGTAAAGAACGCATGGAGATTTTACCAAGAACCTCTCCGGGGCTAAGAATGCTGAAGACATCAAAGGCTATGTCTACCTTCAAAACTGCTGCAATCCGCTCAGAACCATGTAAGGTGGGGCCCCCCCAGTAAGTGAGTTTATAAACCTCACTACGTACAGATACAGTAAATCTATGTAAATCTACCATAAACATCCATAAACATCCATAAACCATAGTTATTGGAGTGAATCTACCTTAGCTATCTTGGGGGCCCTTGTGGACCTTAGGGCTCCAGTTTCCCAGCCTTCAAGTAGATGTCGCTGGCACTCCCCAGTACACGGGAACCCCCCGAGACCACATAAGCCTCAGTGCTGGCAGCATTTCAACAGGTCTCAAAAAATTAGGTGGGCTATACCCCAAACAAACCCATCTATGGGGAAAAGGATGAGCCAATAATGATATATGTCATGAATATTCCCATAAAAACATCCCATAGAATTGGCATTGAATTCTGAACGGTTTCTCCTAGGTTTTCAGACAAAGCCATAGCAGGGACCACTCCGATCCCCAGCTGAACATAGCTTGGGAACCCACGTGGTCGCCCCGCAATGGTCCAGATCTATCCCAAACAAAAAAGTCATAAAGTCATACCCTCTGGTAAACTAACATAGCAATGGAAAATGGCCATTTATAGTGGATTTTCCCATGAAAAATGGTGATTTTCCATTGCTATGTTAGTTCACCAGAGGGTAAACCAAGAATCCCCTAAAAAAAACACCCATCAATGGTTGGAGGATCATCCCACTGCTTACTAAGCCACCATCACCCTGGGCTGTCCCACCAGGCATCCCGTGAGCATTGGATCCCCATGCAGACGCAAGAGACACGGCGCCGCGGCCAGCTCCTCACGACGAACTTCGGGACTGGCACGCCATAGAGGGCCATAGAAAGCCCATGAGTTGGTGGCTTGATGATACCCTCTGGTAATTTAACATAGCTATTGAAAATGGCCATTTATAGTGGATTTTCCCATTGAAAATGATGATTTTCCATAGCTATGTTTAAATTACCAGCGGGTAATCATTATCTATTGGTGATGATACAAAAAAAAAAACTATTGGCTATGGTTATGGTCAATAATGGTGAATGATGGTTAACAATGGTTAATAATGCTGATGAATGATGATTAATGTTGGTATAGCCTCTGGTAAAGTAACATAACTATGGAAAATCACCACCTTTTCATGGATAAATCAACGAACTCAATGGCCATGTTCAATAGCTATGTTAAATTACCAGAAGGTATCTATTGCTGATGATACAAAAAAGATCATGGTGTTAAATATTGATGGAACAAAATAGGGGAACGATTAATTAGCTAAGTTGCACTACGATGATAACATGTTATGTTACTTGGATCATCATCTTATAAGAAATTACTATAATCCCCATTCAAATTATCACCAAATTCTGTCCTTTTGGGGGGCTGCTATCTAGTTGATAGGTCAATCATGAGAATATGATGCGGAAACCTCTCGATTTCCATGGATTGATATAGGGCAAATCTTTGACAAACCTGCTGGTTTTTATCAGCAACTAGGGGGGGTCGGTTTCAACGTTCCTATCAATTATGAAAACATTGTGAGAAACCTATAAAATAAACTAAGGTAAACCACATTGATACTGCAACTACCAATCCATACCTGTGAGAAAATCGGGATTGTAGTACCAAACCTGAAAACATCAAAAGAAATTATGGTCACAGAAATTCCCTCGGCAGTGGATGGTCAACGGTGCATTTTGACCCAAACCTCAAAAAGTTATGGCTGGTTGGTGTTTGACCTACCCCTCTGAAAAATCATTATATAGTCAGTTGGGGTTATTATTCCCAATATATGGAAAAATAAGGAAAAAGAATGAAAAATAAAAAATGTTCCGAACCACCAATCAGATGGTCTAAATGACTTGTTCCATCTGTCATGAAAATCAAAACACGTCCAGCTTTCGTCCATTTCCCACCCCCCAGCAGTAGAAAGTCTGCTTGGGAGCTGCGAAGTCTCATCGTGATCGAAGGGTTTGTTCAAGTTGTTTTTGGGATATCCTTCGGTCAAAGGTGGCAATGGAAAATCTACCATTTATAGATGATATCTCCATTGAAACCTCCATTTATGAAGGATTTCCCAGTCAGCCAAGACATCCTTGGGCTTGGTGGACCACCCATCACCTTCGATGGAAAGCTCTCAGTCTCCCATGAGCTGGGAAACCCCTGCATTTGGGTGCTAGAAACCCATGGGAATTCCTGCAGAAACCTTCCGGAAGTCCATCCATTGATGGTTGATGAAATTTCCAAAAATCCATTGATTGCTGGCGAAATTCCCATAAATCCATTCCACAAAACCGTGATTTTCCGTGTAAATCCATCCATTGATTCCTGGCATCAGCAGCGTTTCACCACCACCCCGGGCCCCGTCTCCTTCTCGGAAGCAAAGCCCCACGCGGCCAGAGACTCGACTTGAGCCTAGCCGCAAGGGCGGAATTGGGATGGGAACATCCCATCCCCTTGGTTTATAACTACAAGAACTAGGATCTATGATGGATATATTGAACTAGTTAGATGGGTTATAAACCAACAAACATAACTCGAGGGCACCATCCTATGGGTTTTTTGTTACCCGGATTCCAATTCCCAAACCATTCCAGTGAGAACTTACCCAGATACATCATGAATGTTCCATGATGTAATACTGTAATCATAAATAGTCCATTAAGAATTATTAATAATGCCATGAAAGAGTATTAATATTCCATTAAATTTCATTGACTGGCCATTAAAACTCATTAATAGTTGATTAAAAATCATTCATATTCCATTAAGATTTATTAATAGTCCATTTAAAATCGTTCATATTAAATTAAGAATCATTAATGTTCCATCAAGAATAATTAATAGTCCATTAAAAAATCATGATTGTTCCATTAAAATTCATGAATATTCCACTAAAACTCATTGTTATGTCATTAAAACTCATAGGTATTCCGTCAAAATTGCCTTATTTTCTCCACATGTCCATTCGATCGACCTTTACGGGGTTCTCCACAATGGGATGGCAACCATATCATTCAACAAGATATAGATCTATAATGTAAAAATGATACAAAGATATCATATATATATATATAGCATCAATAATATAAGATCCCATTGATATACTATATCATCAATAATATCAAGATAATACAAATAATCCACCGTTCTTGATTGTATATAATATTATGTATATAGTGGGATGTAACCATCAACAGAGAGACTTTACGATGAACCCAAACCAGGTCCTAGGTAAGATGAGAATCATGTTGAACTGTGCATGACAACCCCATCTGCGTAGGTGATTCTCACCGCACGTTGATCTGACCCAATTCCTGCTAGACAACATCGAAAAGCCATGGTTTTTGCCGGCCAAAACACCCAAGTTGCCATGTAAGTTCTTGTCAGTAATGACTATATATATACCCTCTGGTGAACTAACATAGCAATGGAAAATGGCTATTTATAGTGGATTTTCCCAGCTATAGAATGGTGGATCTTTCCATAGCAAAATGTTAGTTCACCAGAGGGTATATATATTCCTCGACAGATCATCCCGGGGCCGAAAAACCATCACGAAATCCCACCATGGCAATGACCAACTATGGATCATGATGCGATATCCCAAGATCATCCCGATATAAACTCACTGTTAACCTACTATTATCCAACTATTATCCCACTGTGATCCCACTATTAAACCACTATTATCCCACAATTTTCAGCCACTGTTCACTTGGATTTGCAAAAAAGGGCTTCAACATTTAAAAAAAAAAACACCTTAAACAAATGGGTTATTCCCCAGTCATGGTGGATTTTCCCACCAGTCGCTTCACCACGATTATCCCTTCGAACCCGAAGGGGGCCTGCCGCAAGGCCCGCCGCGCGGCAGCTTGCTCCTGGGCATTTAAGGCAAAGGAAAGCCCCCAAGAAAAATATGGTCGATATAACGAACTATAGTTAACTATGGGATGGTTTCCTTTATGTTAACTTTGGTTATAGTTATAGTTAACTATTTTTTTACCATATAAGTGTCCATTGGGTTATAGTTAACTATGGTTTATGGTAGATATAACGAACTAGTTAATTAATGAATGTTAATGGGGGTTATAAACCAACTTAATGGAAATTGAGGAAACATCGTGTTTAAATAGTTTTGAATGTCATGTTGCGGGAATGGGAATGGAATATCTGATGCAATCTATAATCAATCTATCCACTCCTAGGTCATAGTGCTGTTTTTGTTAAAGCTCTGATTGAGTTTCTTTTGTTTTCTTTGGTCAAGAATTTAGCAGGAACGAATGGAAACGGAAACCATGTCATCTTTTGGAATCTGAGCTGATTTTAGGGAAAAAATATATGGAGTAAATCCACGTTCTTGCCATCAGAAACCAATTTTTGTGTAAGGAAGTTTGAGCTACTCAAAGGAGCTATTCCTAGAATGATCTACCTTCATGCATGTGATTCCCTGGGATTCCCATGAATTCCTTGCCCAAACTATCCAATCTCCTGCGCCGGAGCCATTCGTGCAGCGCGCCTGAGTATTCCGCAGATTGTTCGGGCTGTAGGCTGGCAACCTACAGGATGCTAATGTGAAATTTTGCTAGTCCCACGCTTGTGGGGGCTGTATTTGGTAGATTGTCGGAGGTGTAGGCTGGCAACCTACAGGATGCTAATGTGGAATTATTGGTATTCCCACGCTTGTGGGGGCTGTATTTGGTAGATTGTCGGAGGTGTAGGCTGGCAACCTACAGGATGCTAATGTGCAAATTATTGCTATTCCCACGCTTGTGGGGGCTGCATTTGGTAGATTGTCGGAGGTGTAGGCTGGCAACCTACAGGATGCTAATGTGAAATTACTGCTATTCCCACGCTTGTGGGGGCTGCATTTGGTAGATTGTCGGAGGTGTAGGCTGGCAACCTACAGGATGCTAATGTGGAATTATTGCTATTCCCACGCTTGTGGGGGCTGCATTTGGTAGATTGTCGGAGGTGTAGGCTGGCAACCTACAGGATGCTAATGTGGAATTACTGCTATTCCCACGCTTGTGGGGGCTGTATTTGGTAGATTGTCGGAGGTGTAGGTTGGCAACCTACAGGATGCTAATGTGGAATTATTGTTATTCTCACGCTTGTGGGGGCTGCATTTGGTAGATTGTCGGAGGTGTAGGCTGGCAACCTACAGGATGCTAATGTGGAATTATTGCTATTCCCACGCTTGTAGGGGCTGTATTTGGTAGATTGTCGAAGGTGTAGGCTGGCAACCTACAGGATGCTAATGTGAAATTACTGCTATTCCCACGCTTGTGGGGGCTGTATTTGGTAGATTGTCGGAGGTGTAGGTTGGCAACCTACAGGATGCTAATGTGGAATTATTGCTATTCCCACGCTTGTGGGGGCTGCATTTGGTAGATTGTCGGAGGTGTAGGCTGGCAACCTACAGGATGCTAATGTGGAATTATTCCTATTCCCACGCTTGTGAGGGGCTGTAATTGGTAGATTGTCGAAGGTGTAGGCTGGCAACCTACAGGATGCTAATGTGGAATTATTGCTATTCCCACGCTTGTAGGGGCTGCAATTGGTAGATTGTCGGAGGTGTAGGCTGGCAACCTACAGGATGCTAATGTGAAATTATTGCTATTCCCATGCTTGTGGGGGCTGTATTTGGTAGATTGTCGGAGGTGTAGGCTGGCAACCTACAGGATGCTAATGTGAAATTATTGCTATTCCCATGCTTGTGGGGGCTGTAATTGGTAGATTGTCGGAGGTGTAGGCTGGCAACCTACAGGATGCTAATGTGGAATTATTGCTATTCCCACGCTTGTGGGGGCTGCATTTGGTAGATTGTCGGAGGTGTAGGCTGGCAACCTACAGGATGCTAATGTGGAATTATTGCTATTCCCACGCTTGTGGGGGCTGTAATTGGTAGATTGTCGGAGGTGTAGGCTGGCAACCTACAGGATGCTAATGTGGAATTATTGCTATTCCCTCGCTTGTGGGGGCTGTATTTGGTAGATTGTCGGAGGTGTAGGCTGGCAACCTACAGGATGCTAATGTGGAATTATTGCTATTCCCACGCTTGTGAGGGGCTGTATTTGGTAGATTGTCGGAGGTGTAGGCTGGCAACCTACAGGATGCTAATGTGGAATTATTCCTATTCCCACGCTTCTAGGGCTGTATTTGGTAGATTGTCGGAGGTGTAGGCTGGCAACCTACAGGATGCTAATGTGGAATTATTGCTATTCCCACGCTTGTGGGGGCTGTATTTGGTAGATTGTCGGAGGTGTAGGCTGGCAACCTACAGGATGCTAATGTGGAATTATTGCTATTCCCACGCTTGTGGGGGCTGTAATTGGTAGATTGTCGGAGGTGTAGGCTGGCAACCTACAGGATGCTAATGTGGAATTATTGCTATTCCCACGCTTGTGAGGGGCTGTAATTGGTAGATTGTCGGAGGTGTAGGCTGGCAACCTACAGGATGCTAATGTGGAATTATTGCTATTCCCACGCTTCTAGGGCTGTATTTGGTAGATTGTCGGAGGTGTAGGCTGGCAACCTACACGATGCTAATGTGGAATTATTGCTATTCCCACGCTTGTGAGGGGCTGTATTTAGATTGTAGATTGTCGGAGGTGTAGGCTGGCAACCTACAGGATGCTAATGTGAAATTATTGCTATTCCCACGCTTGCTGTATTTGGTAGATTGTCGGAGGTGTAGGCTGGCAACCTACAGGATGCTAATGTGGAGCTATTCCACGCTTGTGGGGGCTGTATTTGGTAGATTGTCGGAGGTGTAGGCTGGCAACCTACACTGTAATGTGGAATTACTGCTATTCCCACGCTTGTGGGGGCTGTATTTGGTAGATTGTCGGAGGTGTAGGTTGGCAACCTACAGGATGCTAATGTGGAATTATTGTTATTCTCACGCTTGTAGGGGCTGCATTTGGTAGATTGTCGGAGGTGTAGGCTGGCAACCTACAGGATATTATTGCTATTCCCACGCTTGTGGGGGCTGTATTTGGTAGATTGTCGGAGGTGTAGGCTGGCAACCTACAGGATGCTAATGTGGAATTATTCCTATTCCCACGCTTCTAGGGGCTGTATTTGGTAGATTGTCGGAGGTGTAGGCTGGCAACCTACAGGATGCTAATGTGGAATTATTGCTATTCCCACGCTTGTAGGGGCTGTATTTGGTAGATTGTCGGAGGTGTAGGCTGGCAACCTACAGGATGCTAATGTGCAATTATTGCTATTCCCACGCTTGTGAGGGCTGTATTTGGTAGATTGTCGGAGGTGTAGGCTGGCAACCTACAGGATGCTAATGTGGCATTATTGCTGTTCCCACGCTTGTGGGGGCTGTATTTGGTAGATTGTCGGAGGTGTAGGCTGGCAATCTACAGGATGCTAATGTGGAATTATTGCTATTCCCACGCTTGTAGGGGCTGTAATTGGTAGATTGTCGGAGGTGTAGGCTGGCAACCTACAGGATGCTAATGTGGAATTATTGCTATTCCCCCGCTTGTAGGGGCTGTAATTGGTAGATTGTCGGAGGTGTAGGTTGGCAACCTACAGGATGCTAATGTGGAATTATTGCTATTCCCACGCTTGTGGGGGCTGTAATTGGTAGATTGTTGGAGGTGTAGGCTGGCAACCTACAGGATGCTAATGTGGAATTATTGCTATTCCCACGCTTGTAGGGGCTGTAATTGGTAGATTGTCGGAGGTGTAGGCTGGCAACCTACACAATGCTAATGTGGAATTATTGCTATTCCCACGCTTGTGAGGGCTGTATTTGGTAGATTGTCGGAGGTGTAGGCTGGCAACCTACAGGATGCTAATGTGGAATTATTGCTATTCCCACGCTTGTGGGGCTGTATTTGATAATTGTTGGAGGTGTAGGCTGGCAACCTACAGGATGCTAATCTGGAATTATTGCTATTCCCACGCTTGTAGGGGCTGCATTTGGTAGATTGTCGGAGGTGTAGGCTGGCAACCTACAGGATGCTAATGTGAAATTATTGCTATTCCCACGCTTGTGAGGGCTGTAATTGGCAGATTGTCGGAGGTGTAGGCTGGCAACCTACAGGATGCTAATGTGGAATTATTGCTATTCCCACGCTTGTGGGGGCTGTATTTGGTAGATTGTCGGAGGTGTAGGCTGGCAACCTACAGGATGCTAATGTGGAATTATTGCTATTCCCACGCTTGTAGGGGCTGTAATTGGTAGATTGTCGAAGGTGTAGGCTGGCAACCTACAGGATGCTAATGTGGAATTATTGCTATTCCCACGCTTGTAGGGGCTGTAATTGGTAGATTGTCGGAGGTGTACGCTGGTAACCTACAGGATGCTAATGTGGAATTATTGCTATTCCCACGCTTATGGGGGCTGTATTTGGTAGATTGTCGGAGGTGTAGGTTTGCAACCTACAGGATGCCAATGTGGAATTATTGCTATTCCCACGCTTGCAGGGGCTGTATTTGGTAGATTGTCGAGGTGTAGGCTGGCAACCTACAGGATGCTAATGTGGAATTATTGCTATTCCCACGCTTGTGGGGGCTAGATTCCGCAGATTGTTGGGGCCTCAGGCTGGCAACCTATAATGTGGGATTATTGCTTTTCCCACGCTTGTAGGGGCTGTAATTGGTAGATTGTTGGAGGTGTAGGCTGGCAACCTACAGGATGCTAATGTGGAATTAATTGCTATTCCCACGCTTGTAGGGGCTTTATTCGGCAGATTGTCGGGGTGTGGGTTGGCAACCTACAGGATGCTAATGTGGAATTATTGCTATTCCCACGCTTGTACCAGTAGGAGCTGTATTTGGTAGATTGTCGGAGGTGTAGGCTGGCAACCTACAGGATGCTAATGTGGAATTATTGCTATTCCCACGCTTGCAGGGGCTGTATTTGGTAGATTGTCGGAGGTGTAAGCTGGCAACCTACAGGATGCTAATGTGAAATTATTGCTATTACAACACTTGTAGGGGCTGTATTTGGTAGATTGTCGGAGGTGTAGGCTGGCAACCTACAGGATGCTAATGTGGAATTATTGCTATTCCCACGCTTGTGGGGGCTGTATTTGGTAGATTGTCGGAGGTGTAGGCTGGCAACCCAGAGGATGCCACGGTGGAATCGTTGCTATTTCCAGGGTTGGAGGGGATGTATTCTGAACTTGTGGAGGGTTTAAGGTTGCCGGGGGGGTTTTGAGCTCTATTTCCCATGACCCCATCTATAGAATCTATACAATCTCAGCCAATCTACTATGGCTTGAAATGCCGTAGAAACCATTGATGGGGTCAGTCCCTTTTGGTTTATGGTGGCCATGCCATGCCATGCCTATTTGCCCTCATCTTCAAATAACAACTATCTTGTGTTATTTCTATTTTGTGATATCTATTGATATCTATTGATATCTCAGATACTGGTATTACTGCGCACATACGCCCATGTTTGGTTGCTTTGACCCTCATTTTCCCTCACAGATGCCCTTTTCCCAATGCTCCGTCGATGAGTAGAGACGCATACAACCCGTATCGTGTGCAGCTGAATACCAAACAAATCCAAAAATGGGGTTGATGAACAAGCCAACATTTGCAAGTCCCTTCATTTTGGGCAAAGTCCAATAAAAAATCCTTTCTCCAAATCTTGTTTTGTTATATATACTTGTATATATATATATATGTATATACTTATATATATATTCACATAAGGTTTCTTAAAATATAGGATCCACAAAACCATAGGTTTCATTACTAAAATGTTCTAATTTCGGATGATTTGAGAGTACCCCGCAAGGAAGCTCACCAAATCTTGGACCCCTGGACATCCCCCACTCATGGAGCACTCGCTGCAATGCATTCAGCCTTGCTGCCTGGGAGGATTTTGGAGCATAGAACGGACCACGTGACCAGGAATGCGCCGGAAGTCTGAAAAATGCTGGGATTTATATAACTGGTTTTTACACAGCAACATACTTTGTTGATTTGAGCAAGAAAATGCGCTTTTGTCAAACATGTGATTTGGACTAAAATTAGACCATTTAGACCATGGTGGTTTAACCAGCCAGGACTTGACTGCGATTGACCCTCCAGAAATCTGAGGTGGAAGCCAGAATCCAATTTAGCAGGCTCCAGTTGTTCCCAAGTTCCCATCATGTTTTTCAGAGGGCTTAGGATGTTACAGGATTTTACAGGATATTAGTGTCCTGGTTTTGTGGCTGAGGTATCCCTTCATTACCGAGTCTTGTCACTTTTGGCCGGAGATACATCAAATATGTTGCACATCCTTACCGTACCACATCCCGACATCAAAACGTTCCTAAAATAAAAAAAAAGAACCGTGATTTAGTGGTGGACCTATTCATTTTGGGTTCCGATTTTGGGGAGGTTAGTTGATGAGGGAAAGGGATGATCATTCTCCTACTCACCTGAAAACTAACGTGGCACCCAAAATGATGGATGTTGAAGCTGATACGATAGCTTTCACGTGGTTATTTTTGACCATGTCCTTTGGGAAAGATAGAGGAGCCGGTCTGCCATACCATTTATATAGATATCCATACTTACCTGTTGGTCCTAATCTTGATTCCTGATTGTAACCTTCTTTCAAATTGAACAAACAACAAGTGTTGGCAGTTGGAAAGACTAGCCCTCTTTTCAATTGAAAAAAAAAAGACAAGAAGTAGACCGGTAGACCCAAAGAAATATGTTCTTAGCATGTCTTAGGCCCTAGGCCATTCGCCCTGAAGAGTTTTGCGCCCTTCCAACAATGGAGGCCCCTTCCTACGCTTGACCCCACCTTGAGCTGAGTCTCTTCACTTGGCCTAGAGATGACAAGATCGAGGTCATCGATTTGGCCAAGAAGATTATGGCAGTTTCACCAAGAAAACAAAAAGGAAAAAAAAGATTTTTAAAAAATAACAACAACAGGTGAAACAAAATCAGATTTTCCAATTTTCACCAAAAAATAAAAATCAGATTCAAAACAACAACCAGCTTGAAATTCGATCAAGACCTGTGACATTTATAAAACACAACAGAAGCTCAATTGGTTTTGGCGGATTTGTTTCACATGATATCACTCGAAGCAAGAATCCTGGGAAGCTGAAATCAATAGGGATATCTCGCCAAATATCACCATCGTACTCCAACGGAAACAGAAACGGAAGACAACAAGCTAAGTGGTCGCTAAGAACTTGTCGTCAAGGCATGTCCCGCTACTTTGGTTGTAAGGGTCCCGAAAAAAGATACGATTTCCCATGATGTCGATGATGTTTACCCTGTACTTTCCGGCTTTCCAACTTGTCTATCTGGGGGTCGCTACATGTATCCTCCGGTGTCATCAAACATTCGCGTGGGGAAAAAAACGATGATTTTCCCAGCAATAACCAGCCCCAGCTCCAGGCCCTTCCCATGTGCCTCTCATCCGGGACGTACTTCTGCAGGGCCTCGAGTCGTTCATGGGTAATCCCTATACCACACTTGGCAGTATGAATGATAAATGAGTATCTAATTGGTGGTTTCAATGTTTCAACCCCTCCGAAAAATATGAAAGTCAGTTGGGATGATGACATTCCCAATATGATGGGAAAAATAAAATCCATGTTCCAAACCACCAACCAGGTATAGCCCACTTGGAATCCCAAGGTGGATGTACGGTCCAAGTGGAAATGTCGGCCAGCCAAACCATTGGGGGTAGTCTAAGCACCGGGATGATCATCCAACCCCAAAAAATATGCCATGTCGGAAAATCACGTTGTACAAACCAAGTTTTTTTTTTGGCAAGGCCACACAAAAAAAAACGGGACTCACTGTGTATAGATCGTATCCTCTCTCAACTCTAGGGGAGCATTTTTCGGACCTTTCGGGTGGAAAATCGACCCATTTGAGGCGGCAACACAACGTGACAAGGTGACAAAGCTATGTCTTGAAGGGTTCAAATTACCCTTTGGATCCCATGGGGACATTTTGTACCAACCTGCAGGAATCAAGCGTGGAGTTGTTCCCAGCCTCACCTGATGGAAACTCCACACATCCAACAGTTAGTTGAGTAACTGACCTACCATGAATCACTTTAGAAATCCAAATCTTATTGATTAAATCCTGATTTTGCTGGTTGCACTTGCTTCAATTCTGAAATCAGTTTGGTTGAAATTGTTGGTTAAAGTTCACTATTCAATGCTGAAAAATCACCATTTTTCATGGTGAAACTCTCATGTTGTTTGGTCAAATCCCCATTTGCCATGCTTAAAATTTCTATGTTTCATAGTTTCATCCCATTTTTCCAGGCTGAAACTCACCATTTTTCATCCTTCAAATGTCCCTTTTTTGGGGGTAAACTTGACCCACCTGGCCTCAATTTCCAGCTGCAACAAGGCCAGGTATTCCCTGGAACTCGAAGGCCGCAAGTCACCGACATTTCCGCCTCGGAGGTCAAGAAACACCAGGGGCGGTCCTCGAATGATGGGTTTTTCTATGAGTAAATTGGGATTCTATGGATATATCGAACTAGTTAGATGGATTTATATGATATATATATATATATAGACGTATGATGAATCTATGACGATATAGTTGTGATTTATGATGGAGATAGCGAACTAGTTAGACTAGTTAGATGTGGTTTCATACACCAACGTATAGCTGCTACGGCACCTTATCAACAATGATATATGGAGGTTTCCTGAAATGGAGGTACCGCAATAGTTGGTTCAATATCTCCATCATAAATCAGAACTATATCATATATTATATCCATCATATTATAGTTATTCCAGTTATAAATCCCGGTTATATCCATCATAAATAGCTAGTTCGATATATCCATCATCAATCCCAGTTGTTCTAGTTATCTTCACCACCTTCGCAAAGGACCTGCCCCTTCCACCCGCTTCCCCACCTGCCGCTTTGGAGCCGTCCATCATCGCCTGCACCAGGTCCAGGTAATCGCAGGCCTGGAATGGATCGTCTATGTGAGAAACAAGAGGGGGATATCACATGCGATCATATAGATACTATATAGAGCATAGATAATAGATATTAGATATTAAATATTAAATATTAGATATTAGATATTAGACTTAGATATATAGATATATATATATAGATAGATAGAGATATAGATATAGATATCGGTATCGGTATAGATATAGATATAGATATATACAGTAGATATATACATATATATATATATATACATATATATATATATACATATATGGTCTCGTGTTCCGCGTTCCTACCCCCCACCCCAATGGTATGGGTCCAAAGGTAGCAGCCCTCCCTTCTATTTGCAAGCTATTGGCAGCATTTCTGAGGTCCAGCCTCGTATTTGCTAGGTCTTTGCAGCATTTCTGACTACCAGCCTCGCATTTACTAGGTACATGCTACCCTTTAGACGACCTACGTAGCACACATACTCCCTCAAAGTACTTACGTGCTACCTATAGTCATATATACATGTGCTATGTATCTACTTCCTATTTACTACATATCTATCTATCTATCTATCTATCTATCTATCTATCTATTTATCCATCTATCTGTACTATGTATATATATATGTGTGTGTATATACACATATATATATATGTATACTGTATACATATTTATTTTATATATATACATTGAGGACACATGGCCATGACGTCGGAATAGCAGCTTCGAAGCGACCCTCCTTTTAGACCCTTGAAAACACTGCAATGCACAGCAGCATGGAGAAGTGGCAGGCGCTTGCTCGCCGCTCTTCTTGTCAAGGCGGGCAAGGGCAATGCGGCCTGCTTCATCATGAATTTCTGGCGCATCGTCGCGCCTGACACAAGGGCCCATGGTCGCGGCTTGCAGGATCAATCTGTCCCTGTGGTCGTTGCTGATGCGCTCTTCTTCTCCTTCCTCTTCTTCTCCTTCCTCTTCTGCAAACTCCTCATCTTCGCCCCAGCACTCATCGAACAGCTCAGGCTCAACGCGCGATTCGTCACTGCCAGGAGTTGGAGCCAACCCCATTTCCAAATCACAACCTGCAGGCTTAGCGAAGTGCTGTGCATCAGTTCCCACGCGCGTGCCAGGTTCCAAGCTCTCTGTCCGTCGACCTTCAAGCGATGAGCACCGAAAGCCAAAAAGGCACACCAAAACCGTAAGCAATACGGCAGCCTTGCCTGCGCAAATCACACCTTGCAGGGCATCATCCTTGGGGAGCTTGATGGGCAAACCTGTGCGCAAATGGTCAGACAGATCTGCTTTGCCCGCCGGAAAACGGCTTTGATAAATTGCGACTTTCAAGTCAAGGACCACGGGCCCAAGAACTTTGGACCCGTCACTTTCGGCCGGGCCATCAGCCACATGCAGGGACGCGTTGCTGAGCCAACAGCACACCAACAGGACAAAGCCAAGGAACACTTTGGTTCCTTTAGTCAACGCCATGGCTGGACAATGTGCGGCAAGAAGAAGCTGTTCTTAGCTAAGTTGTTGTTGGCATGGGATTCATGAATAGCGGCATTTGTTTGGGTTAGCTCTGTGCCTCAGGAAACTGAGGGGTCTTCCGAAAACACGGCACCCTTGGGGGAACAGTTGAGGTTGTGCCCATGTCAGGCCGAAGCAGGTGCTCTTGTCCAGTTTTCCGAACATGTACCGCGGACAATGATGGATATCAACCGAGTTTTTCAGGCTCTGTTGATGTGAGCCGTCATGGAAACGGGTGACGCGCGCACGCCCCTCCTGTGAATTTCTGATGCACTTGTGCTGCCATATGTGCTGCGATATGACTCATCTGCTCCAATGCATGGTCCGTTTTACCAGCGGTACAGCCTCAAAGCATTCAAGGATTGCCCGCGGGTACCCTATCTCACGATTTCACCTTCTTAGGGTTTGTCATCATCATGATCATCATCATCATCATCATCATCATCATCATCGCCATCGTCATCGTCATCGTCATCATCGTCATCATCGTCATCATGATCATGATCATGGTCATGATCATCATCATCATCATCATGATCCTCCTCATCATCATCATGATCCTCATCATCATGATGATGATCATCATCATCATCATGCTCATCATGATCATCATCATCATCATCATCATCATCAGGGTTTCTGTTCGTAACGATTTATCCTTCTTGGGGCTGGTAATCTTGGAACATCAACATTATCGCCCACCATGACCATCATCATCGTCATTATCATCATCAGTCTTACCTTTTGTCAAGGCTGGTCCTTCTTAGGGCTGGTCATCATTATCGTTCACCATGACGATTATTGTTTCCCCTGTTTCGTAGCAATTTGTCCCTCGGTTAGTTGATCCTTGGTTGAGCAATGGATATCAATGGCGAATTGATGGTAGGAGTAAACTGCTGCTTGGTCTGGATGGTCTAATCACTTTTGCTGAATTAATGCATGATGAACCGAAGGAAGTTTAGGAGTCAAACCTCCGACTTGCTGAACGATGAAGGTAGGTCAGTGCAACCAGTCAGAAGAGAGAGAGAGAGAGAGAGAGTCAGAGAAGAAAGAGGGCAGACGTGGGTGAACAGGTAGAAAAGTCGCGAAACGCTGTGTTTTTTCCGATGTTTCGTGGCTCCGGGAGGTGGAAAAGTAGGCTCGCTAAAACGGCAGGTGCGGAGCCATGTGGCGAGATGAGTTGTCAAAAAGTGTCAAAACATCTCGTATTTTAACGATTTGGACGTCAAAAGTGTCAAAAACCACCAGGGTCGGACCACTTTTGGAAGTTGAAGTCCTCCAAAAGTGTCAAAACGCCTCGTGTTTTAACGATTTGCAAGTCAAAACTGTAAAAACACACATCCGCGAAACTCTCGGGCATAAAAAATTACTTTCGCGAGCTCGAGAAAAAACTTTCGCGAGGATTCTCAACATAACACGCACAGTCTTCGCAATTGCAACCCTTTACTATAGATCGATCACCATGTGTCACTTGCAAGAACCGGCAAGTTGGTTGAAAAAAAAAGCTGACACCGCAAAGGCAGAAAGTGCGGCCCCAGCATGTTTCCTCACATCATGTTGCACTTGCAATAGCATGCAGGTTGGTTGAAAAAGATGCCAATTAGCTGAAAAACAATGCCGCTGACACTGCAAGCGCAGCAAGTAAGGTGGCTGGAAATTCTGCCGCGCGCCTCATGGCCCATATTCATGCAAGACATTGCCTTGTCGATACGTGAATTGGCCGAGAGGGGCAATGGGAAACACCTACATGGCCGTAAGTGCTACCGCAATTCAGGGCACCAAGTTCAGCCAATTTGTGGCGCTTGGAATCACAATTTAAAATCCCCGAAGCCATGGCTTGTCATAACAATGGAATACGCTTTGGAAAAGACGGCTGGTACGATGAAAAAAGGGAATTAAATAAGGGGGTCAAGATCTATATAACCATCACAAAATGCGAAGTGAAGTAAAATGAAATGCGAAGTGAAGCAAACATGAAATGCATGCAGCGCTGAGTCTGGCCTGCTCTGGTTCATACTTAGCAACTGGTGCAGGATTTATTCCATCCACATTCCACTTGGAAGTGCATCCCGCTTAGTAAAGGATTATACCCCACTTATAAATGGAATATCCCCATTTATATTTGGGTTGAAATGGGTTTTATATGGCTTGTAAGCTAGGTACTCACGCGGACGCACATCCAGACACCCTTCCGTGACCAAAAGAGGCACGGTGTGCCCACCTCACCACAATCTCAGCTTTCCCCTGCAGCAGCACCGTATCCGCTCATGTTGGCAGCAGCGCATCATGCGGATGAAACCCCACTAAGCATCCCACTAAGGATTTGTGCCGCTATTTACAGTGTTTGGTGCAAACCCCGCCAAGAATCAACGCAAACCCCACTAAAGATTGAACACAAATCCTAGTGGCTTGGAGCAAATCCCCACTAAGACTTTGTCAGAATTATTAAAAGAGAGAAACAATATTATTTTTATATATTCTTGAAATCCTTAGTGGGTTTTCATCCAAGACTTAAGGATTTGCCAGGAAAGCCTTAGTGGGATCTTCAACGTCCTTAGTTGGTTTTCGTTCCAGCCAATAGGATTTGCTAGAAAGGCCTTAGCGGGATTTTCTATATCCTTAGCTGGCGTTCCTCCCAGCCAATAGGATTTGCAAGAAAATCCTTGGTGGGATTTCATGATACCTCAAACTTTTGACCCGATTTTCTCGTCTTGACATTGCATTTGAGCCAAGGCAGGTGACAGTGTTTCTTTCACCCTGGAACTGAAGCTCAAAATGACGCAACAAAGCGAACGTGTTTATGTGCGAAGGCTCAGCGAAAACAGCCGCTATATATTCAAAAAAGCATTCTTTCGGAGACAGCAGTTTTCAGGACACAGCCGCAGGTGACTGCAACACATTCGTGTCTGTGACTCCTTGGGAGACGGCAGTCATGAGCGTTTCAGTGACACATTTACAGTAGTTCAGCCAGAAATCGGTTTCTGTGAAAAGACATGTAAATCCTTCTCCTGCTGTTTCCTCCTCAATGACCCAAAATCCTTGCTCTCCTTCCTCGGCTTCACCTTCTTCAATGTTTGGATCAGCGACTCCAGTCCTGGAAACACAGAACAGTTCGAGGAAAAGATGTTTCACCTGCAAGTACGTGTACTGTGGCATGGCGATCTGTCGAATGTTCACTGATGAAACAAAGCGCCCACGTTGTTGTTCATTCAGGTCTGACTGTATTAAAAAGATCAGTGACATCAAATTGTCTGACAGTGGGAGTGCATTTTGATGTTGTGCTCGCCGATTCGTGACTGTTTGTTCTCGAAGGGTTACCTGATAATTCATTCTCTCTTCATCATTCTGTAAGAGTTGATAGTGCTGACGTTGCTCATCGGTGAATGCTGCCAAAAATTCGGCCGTGCCTACTTCCGGTAAATCGGAAAGATCAAGCAAATCTGCCCACGATGCGAGGAGTCTCTTCTGTGCAATCTCGAAACGTCCTATCCAGTGCACGAAGTCATGCTGGCCTCGGTAAGTGCGAAACATCTGGAGGAATCGCCAAAGAAACACATGATTTACTCCCTTCACGAAGTACGGTCTCAATGTGTCCTTAAAATGGGCGAGGCCACGACCCGGATCTGAGTAGGGCATTGTCGAGCATTGACTTGTAAAATGAAGCGGCTCCTACGAGTGCATTTTTGAGCGATGGGGCATGCTTGTCTGCATCTAATATTGTGATGCCTAACCTATCATCTATCAAATCTTCAAATTCAAGCCAACTAGATTGGCCGTCAAACTGTGGAGGTACCTTTGGAGTCATTTTGATGCCTTGTCTGGAATCAATTGTGCTGGCGGCGTAGGCTTCCGGCTCTTCATATGTTTGGATTTGAAGCTATCCTTCGTCCGAATCCATGTTGTGGATTAAGACCATGGCAGCTACTCGGAGTTGTACCACAAGTTGCCCTTGCAAGTCAGTATATAGGCGCAGGTGCAAGAAGCAACTGCAATCCGAATATCGGGGCTTAGCAGGGCACAGAGCTCCGCTACCACTTTGAGGTAGCAATCCCCGGTATTGAGGGGCCCTGGATCTAAGCTATGAAGCTATGAACACTTGTGGTCAACGGTCGGAGCGCAGCACCTTTTCGGTAGCTATGCTAGCAAGTCTTGAGCCACGGAGTGGCGCAGTGGATGAAATGAATTAGAATGAACATGTCACATGATATGCGAACTGTAATGCATTGTGTAGACACGTCCCCAAAAGTAGGTTACAGGGGGAGGGGGGTTGGAACGCTAGACCATATATATATATATACACATACCGTATGTATATATATATATATGTTAACATATATATATATATACTAACAAATCTATATATATATATTAACATATATACATATATATATATATTAACATATATACATATATATATATATTAACATATATATATATATATTAACATATATATATATACTATTAACATATATATATTAACATATATTGGGGAGTGCCTTGGCCTCTTTGTCTGTGGAGGCCAGAATCTATTTCTTAAATAAATCAAATTTACAGAAACTATTTCCTAAATCAACCCTAAGCTGGGAAACTAATTGAAACTATTTCTTAAATCAACCCAAGTTACAGAAACTATTTCTTAAATCAACCCAATTTGCAGAAACTATTTCTTAAACAAACAAAATTTACAGAAACTATTTCCTAAACAAATCCAAGTTTTAGAAACCTTTGAAAAATATCCAACCCAATAAATTATACATTAATAAAAAAAAACTAAAAAAGGTAATTCAAGTTACGCCTGCTAGGGATTGGTTTGAAACGGTTTGAAACGGTTTCGGACTATTACCTAGCAAGTAGCGGGAAACGGTTTGAAACGGTTTCGGACTATTTGCTAATTAGCCATTCTCAGAAACTATTTGAAACTATTTGAAACTATTTGAAACTATTTGCAGTTTTTGCCCGGG